GCCACTTGTTTCCTGGTTCATATTATGACACCTGGCCTCATTTGTGGGGCCAAATGACAAACCAAACAAATGAACAGAGTCAGGTTAAAAATAACTTGAACAAAACAGTAATGATCTGACTTCCTCAAGCAGCTGTGCTCATACTGTGGAAAGGGTGGTTGGGGCAGGTCTGAGCAGGCAGAGTGCTGCATGGGAAAATCAGCCACGGCTGTTTGAGAAAATGGTGTGGGGAACCGTTCACAGGGATACCCTGCTCTACACTACCTCATCCTCCCCACTTGAAAAACTGTCCTTGGTTATGGAAAGGTCCTCAGGCCACAGACAAAAGGCTGATGTGCTGAAGGGGTAGTGCTGGAGACATCTTAGGGAAACAGACTCCGAATACTCGCAGCTATTATGACTGTCCCCACTGAATGCAGTCAGGTCAGCTTTGTCTTGGGTCGCACACTCAGATCCTAGTTCATGAAGGGGTCTTGGGCAGTAAGGGTTCTTGCCATTCACCGTTCCAGGATTTCTGTTCTGTGTCCACACCTCCTTCTTAAATACATGCTCAAATGCTCTTTTGAATCAGCTAATTTTACAATATTGCATTTCAGCTCTGGATTTCAGTGTGTGCTGCTAAATAAAGATGACAACAACAAAGGATTCTTTGCATTTGCAAAGTAGTCAGTAGTAGCTTCTTCGGTAGAATTATTCATTTCTGTGAAGTGCTCTTAAATATTTTATAATTAATTATACACTTATTTTTAAAATATCTCTTTAGGAAAATTAAATTAGGGAATTAAGTATTTGGAAAGCATTAGAGTAAGCTTAAGAGATTTAAAATGCAAAAGAAGTCAGGTAGCTACATTTAAAAATTTTTTTAAAAATCTATTACTTTATGTTTATCTGTTGCCATTTATTAGACACTACCATATTTTCAAAAGTCATGTAGGAGATTATGGGTTTAGTTTTAACTTTTCTCTCTTCTTGTTGATCTTATTTTAACATACTTTATGGTTTATTTTATATGAAATGCAGTCATAAATGTAAAAAGCACATTTATTTATAATTTATGAGATTAAATTATATAAGAACTGAAATATACACAAGGTTAAATTTCTTGGCTAGATCTCTTTTGATACTATTTTTAAATAGTATTATTTTACTAATAAGATGCAAGTCCAAGGGTTTAATATTGCCCAGGAGAATTACAGTCTCTGAGGCACATATTGCTCACAGCTGCAGTGAAATATCCATCACTGAAGATTTCAGCACTTTTAATTCCATCTCAGTGACATCAGTGGGATAACTGAAATATTACTCACAGGTGGTACTCGGTAAGGGCATGTAAGATTTTATCAAAATTCTAGAAAAGTAATTTTGTGTTTATCATTAGCAGTTTTTTCCTAACAAAAAAACAGAACAAAAAATATTAGTGTGTATAATGTGGTGTATTGGTGGTGATTTTTTTTCATTATGATTAAAATAAGATGTAATTTTCCCAAAGTTTAAAATGATCAGCAAACCTCTTCCTGTTTACTTTAGTTTCTAGATTCTTTTTTTTCTCCTCCCACAAAATTGGGAAATTTATACTGTAGCAGTAGCTTAGCCAACCTTACAAAGCCTTTGTTTATTATAAATCACTCAAGAGATAACTCAATTATTGAGTGTCTGCAATTCAGTGAAAGCCATGGTTTCTTAATCACCATTGCCAGACTTGAGCCCAGCCTGATCATGCATGTGGCATGCTTTGATTTTGACACTGTACATGTGGATCAAGACACATAACACCCCACACTGTGTCACTGTGTCTTCTTATCCACCTAGGATGTGGCAGGATGTTGACATTGTTGTTGATGTCTCTCTAGAAAGTTGCTTTTTCTAATGCTGAGGTCAGTCCAATCTGAAGAGAACTGTACACTGAGCTATTTGCCTTGTAGCAATGCTAAAGCATTGCAGCCTTTTATCCTATTTATTTCCTCTCTACAAGCTGAGCAGCAACAGAGAATACAACTGCAAGGAGAGTCCCTGAACCAGAAGTTTCTTGTTTGTAGATGGCAGTACACAACCAGGAAAGTATTTCAGGAGTCAACATGTGCAACTCTCTGCACTGCTATTTCCTTTGATAGATTGGAGAGGCTGGTGAAAGGGACAAACGACTAAGAGGAGAAGACTAGGCTTCAAACCTAGGAGAGAAAACAACAAAGGAAAAACACATCTAACAACATTGTGGAAATGTGTGCTGTGGAGAGCTTACCTTATCAGAAAAACCACTTGAAAAAGTTACTGACAGTCAAAAGAAGTGCTATTACCATTAGGAAAAGCACAAACCTCAGCTTCCCAGTGTTCACTGGCAGCTAATGAGGCTATTTGGAAAGTGACATCTGCATTTCAGAGACTTCCCATACCATGTTGCCCGAATGTCAGAGATGTAAAAGAGGCCACAAAAACTTTTGTTTGCATAAGGTTCCCCAAAAGTGTCAGAGCCATGAACAGGGTTCATACCAGTATCCTTTGCAGTTTCTCCTGATTCCACACTAACAAGATCAAAGCAAAGAGTGTGTTGCAGACCATTGTACACCAGTCTGGCCAGCTGGTGCCCAGGGCTGGTGTTGCTTGCAACTCCTGCTGGGCTGTAGCTGGCACCCAGCTCATCCAGATCTGCACCCTGTGTTTGCTGCTGTCGGATCCAGCCTGTTCCTTTGATGCTCTGGCTTGAGAAGTCAGACTTTATTGGCAAACATAGCTATTGCAAGTAACCACTTGAGCAGCTCTGGAAGTGGTGCAATGTGTGTTTGGCCAACTCCGTACTGGGATAGCGCTTGCTTATTTTGTTTTATATAATAATTAGGAAAGCAAGAGGTAGCAGACAGCAGAAGGGGGGGAGCAAGTCCAGACTACACTACAGTCAGTAATGACTCACTGGTTTCCCAATGATGGCAATGGGATGGCTTTGTGCAAAATCTCAAGTGTTGCTTGCTGTGTTGCAACACTGGGTGTTCATTTTGTGGGAGCTGGAAACTGAGTCCTCCTGAGCATGCTACCAGCTTTCTGCAGCTCTCTCCACTCCTCTCCTTTTATATTTGACCCCCAGATGGGATATACTTTATCTCTGCCCTCACCAGAACATTATTTCTTTCTCTCACATAGAAAACTCCAACTGGTATACTCCAAAATGCCTTCTATGATGTTTCATTGTTGACACATACTTATTAAGTTTGTGATGCATTATGAGATCTTTCTCCACACGGTTCTCATTTTGTATTTCTACATGATACTTCACTTATGCATAGCAATCACACTTCCCCTTTGTTTTACTAAATCTTGTAATATTTAATCTGTCAATAAATCCTTAGTAGAACTTCTTACATATATATATTTATACAAACTATAACAGGGTATAATAAAATTAAAAACTATAATTCATATTTATGATAAATTTTGCAATGATAATTAAGGCACCTATAATAGAAAAAAATTTAGAAACATGCTTCTATATTTTTCCATTTAGTTATTTAATGTGTATATTTGAAGGCACAGATTGGGAATCATCTGAAAATCCAGGGTCTAGCCTAAACTAGTCATAGGGCTCTTTCTAGTCAACAGAGAAGGACAAAATCATCCACAGACTGATTCATTCTAAATGCTTTGATTGCCTATTTTAGAAAGGTAGTAATCACTCCTGGACGTTTCTTTCTCCACTGACTACAGAAGAAGCCAAGACAACTGCTTTAGAATAGATACCAAACTTCCAAATTGCTAAAATTACACAAGATGAGTCCCAGCTGCAGCTCATTCTCGCCCGGAACAATCAGACAATAAATTCCTCAAAGATTTAGGGCCTGACTCCCATTGATTTCTCACTGTGAGATTCTTTAAGGAGTTGACTTTAATGAGTTGCACACCTAAACATGGTGAATACTCAACAAGGGGGCTGCAATGGGGGCTGCAAAACATTGACAAAAGTCTTACCAAATCGGCCTCTGACTATTAAAGCAGAAAACAATCTTCAAGCACTTTCTCCTTTGGCAGAAATTTCAATCCCCACTGCAGAAAGGAACATATGTTTGAGCTTCAAGTACCATCCCCCCCCACTCTGAGGAGGAGGGAAATGCTGAAGACATTCCTGACTGGAAGAGCCACTGCTGGGTTTGACAGAGCACCTCTTTCGGATTCCCTTTTTGGCCACTTCTCGATCTTTCTTACCACAAAACGTTTGCTTATTTAAAAACCCCTCAACAAACTAAAACAACGGGTAGAACAGACCTGGCAGGTGTTTTATTACAGTAGCACCATCCTGAAATTATATCTACTTATTTTTATTCAAATTGACAACATTTCAACTTGAGTGTTCCTTAATGACATAAAACTAAGTCTTCTTTTTTCCTCTTTGAAGTTACATCATTGTAGATGTTGACTGTTTAATTGTCCTTACAATCATGCACTTAACTTCCCACTTAGCCCCATGCAGGACATGACTTGAAGACATTAACAATCTTCACTAATGTGGATTGCCTTAGGATGTTTTAAGTTTATTTGTAATGGAGGCAAACACTCACTGTTTGGATGAATTCTATAAAAGCTGAACATTTTCTGCCCTAGGCAAAGCTTTGAGAAAGAGTTCATATGGTTTTTCTGTTTGTAATCAGTGCATTCAATTATGCATAATTCGGTTTTCATGGTTTCACTGTTGGATCACATAAAGTCAAGTATAATTACTACCAAAAATAAATTTCTGTATGCACCTTGGAACATTCCCCGTGGACTTACAACACACTGGTAGGAGATTCACAATTACTGGGAAGTTATTTAAGAATATTTTATTGTTTTCCTCATATACAAGTGAAATTGCAATTGTTAATCACAGGGATTGAAATAAATGGTCATGAAGTCTTAGTGCTATTATAAAATAAAATTAATATCAATTTCTATACCAAATGGGCAGAAGAAAAGGAGGGTGGGAAAGCTCTACATTTAGAGTAATTTCCAAGAAAAATATTCCATGACACTGGATGTGATTCTTCTTTACACAAAAAGCAAAGAAGTGAAAAGGGTCTTCTGCATCCAATAGGCAGTTTCTGTGGGACTCTAATAACTTCCAGACAGGTGCCTGAGGCAAAACTTTCTTTTGCCTATTGCAAGTTATTTAATGTATGCAAGCAGCCTCCACAAAAAGCATGTTCTGCTCCACTTTTGTTTTTTAAGCAGGATGGGTCTCACTAGTTCACCTCTCCCTCCAGCTGTGGCTTTGGTAAGAAGTTTTGTTAGCCTTAGGATTTTTTTGTATTACTGGATTATATTAGAGAACTTGCAATAGGGAGTGATGATCTTGAGAAGATGAACTCATTTCCTTCTCCCAGACAGCCTTAAACATCTTTGACTAGAAATAAAATGAAACTGCAAAAGTTTAGGAATAAATAGACAGGACATTAATTAGGCCAATACTCCTACAGGGTCATTTACTGGTAGAAAAGTCAATAAATGGGCTACTAGGTTCTATATCACTCTCAGAACTGAGATGTATCAGAGTATAAGCATTGTTGTTCTCCTTTGCTTCTGCTTTTTGCTGCTGAATACTACCCAAACCACTTTATTTACCCATGAAAAGCAGAAAATCCAAAATGACTACTAGTCATAAATTTGGATTATGACATGATTTAGGAGTACAGGGGGAGACTTTTAATTCTTGAGATGGCCTTAATGGGCAAAATTATTTAGTGAATATAACTGTTCACTCCTTTTGACCTTCTGACATAAATCCTGCAGATTTAGCTATATGTAACTACATACAACTATATGTAATTGTCTGATGTAGTGGCTTGAAACTCCTTTAAAAACAGAATAAAAACCTGTATTTAGAGTAATCAAACTCTTACTTGTGTTATAAAAGATATTCTAATTTGAACTCAGAACAGAAAATGTATAAGATCTTAATTTGGCTTTGCTTAACTTAGCAATTGGTAAATTATTTTTAATAATCTGCTAAACCCAGTCTGATTTAGGGTTGAACTTTTCTGGAGGTAGGTTACTTGAAAACAGTGCCTGATTTAAGTGCCTTAATGATATGCAAAAAAATCATACTTAGCTTTTGGGTGTGTCTTTTGCCTGAAGTGAATACATATTTTAAACAACTTATGTTTGGACTTGAATCCATAAACCTGTGTTTATCTGCCTTAAAATAATCAGAGACTGAAAATGACACCATTAGAATCAAGCCCTAACATCCCAAAGAATGGTCTACAGATCTCTACATAACCTCCTTTCCTCCAGTCCCAACACCCTCCACTCCACACCCAGACTACTAAACTTGGTAATCTTGTGGAGGAAACTAATCTCGTTAGCCAAAGAGAGCTTGAGGGTCTAGTTTTACAAGAATTTTTCTGTGCAGCCATGCTTCCCCCTCCTCAACATCATCCCTTCAGGCTGCCATGGAAAGGGCCTGCCTTAGCATAAGCACCTTCCTTGTGCAGCTACATGGAAAACTGGAGGAAGAGGAAATTATTCCAACTCAGAATTAAAGTGAGTGTGTGTGTGGTGTTATTATTTTTTAAGGGGGTTCAGTCAAATCAGTCCCCTAATCCTGTTAAATGTGCATTTACACTAATGTTAATGCCAAACAAGGGTCGGCAGACATCCTTTGCTACTTGTGGAGATAACCAGGTAGAGGGAGACCTCTCATTTTAGATATAAGCTTTCTTAGGACAGGTACAGTCTAGCCAAAACTGTGAAGGAGGGATCTTGTATTTGCTTACGTACAATCACAGTGCACTCTCAACCTAAAATCAATGATAAAGAGACCCCTGGGATCGGGGACTGCCAGCCCTTACAGTATTCATATGAGATGCAGAATCAGTTCCTGAGACTTTGGAAGCGAGCAAACTTCCCTGTGGAAAGAAAGACTTTCTGTCACGGACTCTAAAGTGCAGCATATATGCATTTTAGGATTCATAATATATAATCAATTTTAAAATGTTTTATTGAGTATTTTGAGAAAAGAGTCTGCAAAGACAAATGGATTTTCTGAATTTATTTACCTTGCTTAATTTAAAACAGCTTCATATATTATTAGTACTAAATATGCATTAGGTTTTTCTAAGGCACAGTATTCCCTGACTGCATGAGTGGTTTTCAAAATTACAAAACCAGAAGTTTCTGCCCTTTTCATCTTTTTTTTTCTACCTTTGTTTCTGAGATTCTCTCGTTTCATGGTTCACATATGCACTGCACATATTATTGACTGCTATGATAAAATAAGTTCAAAGTATATTGTTTCTAATTTTTTTCCCCTGGATGTTAAAACTGGCAGCTTAATGATTCTGTTGCCACCTACTAGTGAATCACTACCCTTGCCAACACTCAAGACAAGCTCACTTTTCCCTGATAATTGAGGCCCTTTGCTGTGCACTCTAGGAACTGCTAGTACAAGGCTTAGTTACTTCAAATCCATTTTAATTTTAGTAGATTATTCAATAATTACCCAGAGCAATGTAAGCATGAATTTTTGATAATTTCGCAAAGGTGGCAAGTATAGCATTATCTTACCTAAATATGAACAAAACATGTTCAAGTGTCTATGTATCTTGGTGTAACAGTGTGAAACTGGCACTTAAGAAAGAGAAGGAAGCTTTCCCATTGACTTTGATGTGAACAAGCACAGACCAAAGAAGGATAGCTTCAAAAATCTGAATTTGCCACTGTCCTACTGTCTGTTTAGAACAGTTCAGTGTTTCACAGGCTTTGTTGATCTACTGTCACCCTAAAATTTTCCTAAGGAAGAAAGCTGAAAAAGAAACCGAAATATTGATGTGCTGATGCTGCCAGGGCAGTTTTCATTCACAACAACTAAATGAGAGGAACTTGTAAAGACATACCAATTAATTTTTGTCCTGTATTTTTTTTCTTTACTTTCTTGCTTTTATAGCAAAAGGAAAAAGTGTAGGAAAAAAGCGTGCTTCTGCAGTGTTTGTCTGTTTTCCCACAATAATTTACTTAAAGAACACCAATGGTCAATGAAGCACAAACTGACAAAACACTGCACAGCTCTGCGCACCCTATGCACCTGGAATAGTTGTGTTGAGAGTGGCATGTGAATGTTCATAACTACTCAGGACTTGCTTGCTTGGCTTGCAAATTCATGATTCCTGACGAAAACATAGTTTTATTTCTTTAACAAAATCCCTCTGTCCTTAGATAAACATGGAAACAATAAAAACAGGGACAAACTTTCAGCTGTAAGACTTTGAAGGCTCCAGGTTCACAGTGTCTAAGATGTCTACAATCTTTCAGGTGAAACATACAAACGTGGGAGGGAAAGCACAGTGTCCGTGTGCAGTTTGATGGCTGCTGCTATGGAAGAGGGGTGTGTGAAGCCTATAGTAATTGAATCCATTGTAGGGTCCGACCTTACATATGGAACTTGAACAATAGGTATTTACTTAAATTACACAGATTACCTCAGAGATGTGGAATCTGTACGCCCTGCCCACTCCCCTGAACCTTTGGAGCTGGGATCCTGTGGGGAACATAATGGGCTTAATTACGGTGTCTGGACTAGCCATGTAGGACCCGGAAGGCAGGAGTTAACCTCACCTCACCTTTTACATGCCAGTGACCCCAGGCTTGGCTGGGAACCCTTTAGGGCCTCTGGAGCAGCTTCTGGATTACCATGACATGAGCTAACTGGCGCGACGGGAAAGGGAAATCCCGCACGAGCAATGCCACGGTGCCCGTGCCTTCTCACCTCGGCCCGCGAGCGGTGGGTGCCGCTCTGGGCACCCAGGATCCGCTGCCCGCTCCCGCCCGTCCACGCACGGGCCGGGGTACAGCAGCAAGGTGCCACCGCAGCGCCCGCCGTGACGAGAGGCCAGCCATGTGCCTCCGCCCGGGGCGGGCCGGGAGCCCAGTGGTGCCGCTGTCACGGCCTCGAAGCAGCGGGTCGCGACGTCCAGTCCCGGCAGCCACAATCCCGGCCCCAACCCCGGCCCCGCGGGGCCCGGCCGTGGCGGGGCGGGCGGGGGCTGCCGCTGTCACATGGCAGGGGGAGGGGGCTGCGGCGGGGCGGGCCGCGCTCGGGGCTTCCCCGGCCGCGTGGAGGCGGGCTGAGGCGGCGGAAAGTTTGCGGAGTGGCGGGGGGCTGTGGTGGCGCTGCGGTCCCTTGCCGCTTTCTGTCTTTTACTTTTTTCTACACCGCCCCCCTCTCCCACCGCCTTCCCCCCTCGGTGGCTGCTCCGGGGAATGAGGGGGAGCCGCCACCCGGACTGAGAAGCAGGAGGTCGCGGCGCGCCTCGCTCTGCTCTCTCAGTGGGGGAACGCCAGGGTCGGGAGCGCGGGCAGCGGCTCCGAGCCCGCCATGCCCCACCGGCCCCGCGGGGCGCCCGCCGCCCTCTCGGCACTGCTGCTTCTGCTGCTGGGCGGCCGCGCCGCCTCCGCCCGCTGCCCCGAACCCTGCCGCTGCGCCGGGCACCTCGTCGCTTGCACCCGCCTGGAGCTGAGCCGGCTGCCCGAAGGGCTGCCGCCAGCGGCGGTGCAGCTGTGAGTATCAGGGCGGCGGATACCGCGGGGGGCTGGAGACGCTGGCCCGCTCCAGCCCGTCCGCCCACTATCTTCTGCCCCCGGGGCCGCGGTCCCGTCCGCGGGCGGGCTTTGAGGGGCAGCGCGGTGTGGTGGCGACCGCGAGGTGCGGGAGGGGCAGCGCCGGGGGCCGTGGCCGGGCTGTCAGCGGTCGCGGCGAGGGCGGTGGCGGCGGCAGGACAGCGTCCCCGAGGCGGGCTGCGGCCCCGGGACGCGGTGGCGATAAGCGCCCGGGTGAAATCGGGCCCGGGAGCGCTGTTCAGTGTCGGAGAGGGCGAGGAAAAAGTTCTGTTACCTTTCTTGGAAAGCGTTCAATAATCATCAGGCTAACACTGATTTGTGTCTCGGGAAGGCTGAAATCGCGTTTCCTCGTGCAGCTCTTCGTTCCCCTGTAGTTTTGGCTCTAGCGAGGGTGCGCGCACCGGGGCGCGCTCACTCGGCCAGAGCCGCAGAAGGACCCAACCCAGGTGCCAGCTGCGGAAATCCATTTCCAGTGAAAAACTTGTGTGGAAAAAGCATAAATTATGTCAGCTTTCTAGAAGCCTGAAAATAGCTGGGGGACTTGTCACATTTGGTTTTAATTGCTTGTCACTGAAAGATCTTCTGTATTAGTCGTATTAATTTTCGATTACATTTTCAAAGCAGATTGAGATAAGGGCTTTAAAGTAAACAGGAAGACTTTCAATTAGTTGTGGCTAATTCTGTTCAATTGCCTTGTCTGGAGGTCATGCTGCTTTACTCATGAAATGTGGATGGCTGTATTGACACCATATGGAACTGAACACAGGCATGGCTCTGGAAGTTGAATATTTCCAGGACTGGCGTAGGAAAGTGTGAGGGGAAAAGAAACTTTTTTTTTTTTTTTTTTTTTTGCATATGTGATTGAAACATATGGATCAAACACTGGATCTGCTTTGCATTCAACAACTGGCTTTGCTTCCTATTATATTTCATCCCTCCTGTTCTTTTGAACTATTAATCAGTATGCTCACAAGTTTTCTGACAAAAGGCTTTTTTTTGATACTAAGCTCAGCTTCATTGTTTAGTTTTTAGTTTAGCTTACTTTAGTGCTATTAAGTTAAAATCCAGGTGTGGTAAACGAAAAAACAAGGGGAAAAAGAACAAAACTTTCGTTTTTTAGACTTGACTTAAAAAGCATTTTGCATTAGCAGTAATTCAAATTTGTCTTTTACACTTATGTTCCCAAGAGACAATAAAACGCATTGCAAGCTTTTTTTGTTAGCACAAGGGAGATTTTTCTAATTAGAATTCCCTTGGTAGTGTAAATTGTCCTTATGTAAGTTCACATTCCTTTAGAAGTGTGAGAAAATAAGTTCCGCTTGTATAAATAAGCTTTGGCCTGTTGTAAGAAACCCTGCTGTGATTACTCATTGGACAGCTGTGTCACTTGCTTTTAAACTCACAGGAGTACATCCTTTAGGTGTCACCAAACCATGTGGTCTGACCACTTTTGTGTAAATATTTCTTTTGTTTGTGTCAAATGCCTTGGAAGTATCCAGCTTTCTTCCTTCCCCTCTTAATAAGAGAACAAGGAAGAGTGTGGCGTTGCCTGTTACTTCCAGCTACCCCACTACTTCGAGCTGGGATTGTGCAATCTGTAAGGTTAATGCGTTCAGCTGTACATCCGAAAAAAAAGGTTTAACTAGTCTGGATTATTGTTGCAACAAACTGCACATTACAAATTGTAAAAGATGGTTTATGAATTTTATTGCTATATGTTTACTGTGTTTTCCATGGAAGTCCATAGTGGGTATAGCCAAAGGCTAGAAGTTTTAATTGCAGACTTTCCAATCCTCTTGAGAAAACAACTATTACCCCATGTTCTCAGCATACGCAGGTGAGGTCTCCCAAGCAGTAGAGTGAAAGCTCTTCTGCCTGAGAAGGTCTGGGCCTATGTTATGCTTAACACCTTCCTTTGCCCATCTGTCTTATGTGCCCAGATGGTGAACAGGTTTTTGAAACTCTTGTTTCATTCTTTCATGCCTTTTGTATTCAAATCCCCTGTTGAAATAAAATGAAAGTGACCTCACAGTGGGCAAGGAGGGAAATAGAAAAAATAGACTCTGAGTTCTGTCCTTATCTTTTTGGTCATAAGTGTGAGTCTACTGCTTTGTACAGAAGTGGCTTTACAGAGTGGGGTATAAACACACTATCATTGCCAACTCTACTGTGATTTTAACCCAAAATACCGTATTCTGTTACCCTGCCTTCGTGGGAGATAACAGTCTGCAGAAAACTCATAAACATTTATAATGGCTTTGGGTACAAATAGTTTTGAATTTAGATTTCCATTTAATTCCAGGATGTGTGTTCCAAGATTATAAGAATGTGGCTTTGTTAGAGCCGGTGTAGCAGAGCTGGAGGAGGAGGGGTGGAGGGTAGGAAGAGCGTTGAGCCTTAGCCAGTGTCCTCCAGGTGTGCAAACTCCTGCTGGCATTGCCGTACCCTTTGCCAGGTTCACTGTGGAATGCTGAAACTGTTGGTGGGGAAGGAGGGAAAGTCTGAAAGATGGTTTTCACTTGTGTTTATATTACATCTTTAGTATTTATATTTTATAAATCCTCTAGTGCTCTACCAGAATTGCCAGAAAAAAGGCCGTATGGTTTTCACAGCTGTTTTCCAATATTTTCCAGACTAAAACTTGAACATAGCAGGCTGATTTATGAGTCACTTTGGATCAGTGTCTTAAAACAGCTACAGCCTGGCTTTTTGTTTTTCAGCTCTGCTGATTTCTGCTGAATTAGCAGCTCTATAGGCCCCAGTGGGACTGATTAAGGAGCTGTTGCTGGATTTGCATTTTAAAATTTGACTTGGGGCTCAGGTTTCTGTGTTCTCTAAGGAAGATAATTGTGACTAAGTGTTGTATATTAAGTTAGAGTCTAAAAGTTATATCTCTAAAATGTGTGAAGAAGCACTTGCTCTCTCTCTCCCTCTTTGCATTAGACCTTCCTTTCAGTTTTTGATCAAACGAACATTGTGGTTCATACTTACTTTTCAGCTAATGCTGAGACTTGTGAGTTACGAAAGATGGTCATACAAACGTAATGGAACATAGAAAATAGTTTCTTTCATAGAACAGGTTCTTAAAGGGCCTCAAAAACTGGCATGCTTTTTCAATTGGGGCAATTCTACTTAAATGTCCAGTCACTTTTATTAGAACTCTGAAGTACAGGTATATATTCTTATTATTTTTATAAATAATTTCTTAATATAAATCTGGTTTCTAAAGTTTCAGAGTGCATTCTTTATATCTTTAATAACTTCTGAAATTCAAGTAGCAAAAGTAATCACAGAAGAAATTTTCTCCCCAGTTATAATGTGGTTTTAACAGACAAGGAAAATTCAGAAATGGAAAAAACACAGAGTAATAGTGTTTTAACATTGTCAGTTCCATTTCTATGAAGGAAAAAATACTGCCTAATTTTCCAACTTTTTCTTCATACTTGTTTTAAGATATGTTGAGAAATGTATTGAACTGAAATATAGCTTTGCAACAGAGATGATAGATTTTTATATTTAAGAAATGTCGCCAGTCCAGTGCTTATAAGTTTGAGAAACTTCTACAGGCTTAAGCTTCACTTAGAGTGTTAGTAAAAGGCAAATATTTTAACTCTTGGTTAACTTCCAACCATTCTGATTTAACTTAAAATGTGACTTGCAAAGCTTTTTTTTTTTTCTGTAGTTTCTCATGCCAGTAGTACTGAAATAATGCTTAATAAAATATTTATAATTCATATTCTATCCAACTATTGGTGGACAAGCATGTATACAACTGTATGAAACAGGCAGTTCAATATTGTCTGGAGGGCTCAGGTTTTTTTATTGTTCTTTTGCTTTGGTGTTTTGTTTTTTTTTTTTGCAACTTGTATTTGACAACCTGCTGTAAGTAAACCGGGCATGAAGAATTTGTATGTATGTATTTTTTTAAAGTAGGTGCTACTTGGAAAATGTGAATGTATCTTTAGTGTTAAAAAACAAACACAAAAAAGTAGTTTGAAACTTAGTGTAAGTTACACTCCTTGATAGACTCCAGATGGATGTGAGCTTGAACTATGAGTGAAAGTGTCTGGCTCCAGTGTGGTGATCATGCACAGCAGTGGTTGTAATTGTAGGATTTTTATAGTTTAAGAACTCTGCCAGATTTTTTTTTTTTAACATGTTATAACTCCAGCAGAACAAATCTACTCACGTCTGTTACTGTCTGGTAGGTCCTTTAGGCAAACATGCTTTAAATAAACCTTTT